GGGGATTTAAAAATGGCGGCTCCCCGCTTATGCTAATGAAGCCCGGGAAATTCAAATCCCGGGCTTCATTAGCAAGTGCGGTATGCATACATTACCCTGCTAGTTCGAACTAGCGGGGTAGTGTAGACATACCCAAGGAGATTGGTTGCAGTCACGTACCCTGAGCTACTTTTCTGGGACGCTGTTCTGTCCAGCCCTTTCTCTTGGGCCTCGTGGTCAAGTCCTCCCTGTCCAGGGTTCTTCAAGGGTTGCGATTGGCTTACTGGCTAGTCTTCAGCCGCTGGATGTGGTTTTGACCAGGTCTGAAGTCTAGCTCCCACTCAGAGCTGTCTCTAGTGCTGTTGTTTTCCCAGTCAGTCCTTAGGTCCACCTGGGACTGGGGAGAGCTCCAGGAAGGAACTGCCAGGCCCCACTAGCCCAGCAGCTTCTTTTATACCGGTCTGCTGGGTCCTGATTGGCTACCTCTACAGCAGCCACTCTATCCTGCCTGGAGGACCTCTTTTCTGCTCCTCCCGCTGGTTTGGGGTGTGGCAAGGCTTCTGGCCTCTTGTAGGGGGCATTGGAGATTAGTCCACCCCATCACAATGAGATAAAGGCAACACATAGAAACCTGTTGGAGAATATTTTAACTTGCCTGAGCAATCATTAATGGATCTCAAAGTCACCGTGTTGTATCAGGACAATTCCACCAGCCAAATACACAGGGAAGCTTTGGAACTTAACTTTATTTACAGGTTTGGGACCCATCACAGAGATATGAACAAAGACATTACCTGTCTAGCGCACTACATTCCACATCCTAATGACTTAAAAAACAAACAATGTGTACTTAAGAACAATTTGCACCTTCTCTATCAGTTTCATGTGGCATGAACACTCTGAGTATTTCTTTCCCACTTTTTCCTTCCCCTCCCCCCAACCCCTATTTATTTTGGAACTGGACCTTTATTAGCTGAAGAAGTGGGTTGTGCTCATGAAAGCTCACAATACTGTCTACATGTTTTGTTAGTCTTTAAGGTGCTGCTAGACTAATTGTTGTTTTTAAATTTTTTCCAGTTACATACTAACACACCTAGCCCTCTGAAGCTTTAGATACATAGACAGTATTCATGATGTCAGATAGTTATGATGCATCGTGGAACGAGGTGTACAGATAGTTCGGAAAGGCTTGCTAGTTCGAACTATCTAGCCCGTGCCGCGTGTAGCCGCGCGGCACGGGGTTCGAACAAGCCGGCATTTAAAAATGGCGCCGGCCGGCTTATGCAAATAAAGCCTGGGAAATTCAAATCCCGGGCTTCATTTGCACGTTCGGTATGCATACATTACCCCGCTAGTTTGAACTAGCGGGGTAGTGTAGACATACCCTTAGGCACTGCTCAAAATCCTACCCTAAAGCACAGATTCCTTTATAACATTCAGTCATCTCAGGGTTAATGAGAATTCAGAGGATTCATGAGTCCAAAACCACTGATCTGAGTTATTCTAATGTAATGAAGTCCTGTAATGAATCATCTACTGCATAAAAATCTGTACTATTTTGGTTTTGAAAATCAAATATTTATTTTTAATATACGTATATCAATGTTATTTTTACATCTCTCCCACTACCTCCCCAAGATAGCTACTCTTTAAAATCACCAAGGTAAAATCTCTTCTCTTGTCTTTGTTTGGACAACTCACCAAACACTAGTACTTCTTTGCTGCAATTATAAAACTAACTTTTATAAAACTTCTTGGATCTAACCTTCAAGCCTCTCACATTTTATTAAAATGAACATCTACAATAAAATGTGTGGATAATCACAATGACACTGACTTTTATAAATCCTGAACTTTTATAGAATATATATAAATCATCCCAAAGTGATATTGTAAGGAAAACATATATCTCCAAGTTAAAATTAAACTATTATGCTCTTATAAATGCATATGTCATCCAACTAAAACAAAAAAAGGGCCAATTTTACCACCCCAGGTAGGAATACTTACCATTAATAAAACATTTAAGAGTAATTTCTCCCAAAATATAGATGGACTATGAATCAGCAAATCATGCAAATGCTGCTGTTGTAAATTGGGGTACAGAAGGATAATTTGGCCCACTATACATTAGGGCAGATTAATATTTTACTCAGACAATTACATTTATATAGAATGCTGCATGTTTTCTCCTCCAAAAATGTAGAACCTTACAAACAAGAATATTCTGTGGACCAATATCTTCTCTAATAGCTATTCCCCTCTATACAGTATAACCACAATGAAAATAATATTTGGTATTGGAAAAGTTTGTTTCCCAAGTTACATATATTCACTGTAAAGATTTCAACAAAGACCCCGATCCATAAAGGACTGCAGTGCCTAAAGCCCAGATTTAGGTTGATCCACAACATTCTTGCTCATTTGGATTACAAAGTCATTCACTTTCACTTTCTCTGACCCACTGTATATTGTGTACATAATAAAATGGCAACAGGACTAAAAGAATCATATCAGCATATCCCATAATCCAGTGACTAGGAAACTCACTTCAGAAATGGGAAACCCCAGCTCAGTTCCCTTCTCTTCATCAGGCAGAGGGGGCAATTGAACTGAGGGCTCCCACATCCCACATGAGGTCCCTAACTCTGGGCTAAAAGGTAGCCAGGTGGATAAAATGGCCTCCCAAAGCTTTTGTATGTCACTTACTCTACAATAGAGACTTTGGCTGTGACACCACAAGACACCTGATTCCACAAGAAGGGCCCTGGGTATGTGGCTTAAGCGAGGATAGCATGTAACTCCTGCCAGCCTGTAATTAGTCACCTATCTCCCTAAGAGGAGAGACGCTTAAGAAATTACCTCTTTGGCATCTGCTATTGGCTAGCTTACATGTTGCCTTGTCTAGCATGCCAGGTTTTATAGAGCCCATTATTTTTGCTTGTCTCTCCCAAGTCATGGTATATGGTGCCTAGGTGCCAATCTCAGGGTTTGTGGATTTTGGTGATTTTCAAGGCACCTAGAAGTTAGGCATTGCAGCATAAGTCTCTTTAGAGGTCCAGGCCAGCAGAGGGCAATAACCAGCCTGTGAATGCTACTGCTTTATTTGCCTGTGCCTCCGTGAGTATGGCTGCTTGAAACTCCTGTTGGCAGCGGATTGCTGCTTATAGCCAATGGGAGCTCCAGGAAGTGCTGTTCCAATCCACACCACTTCTCATAGCTCCAATTCATCAGAAATATTAATCTGCAGCCAATGGGAGTTTCAAGAGGCTGTACCTGCAGAGGCGCAGGTAAATAAAGAGGTGGTGGCCCACTAAGAGCTAACCGTCGCAAACTGCCTCCGGCTTCCTGCCCACCCCTGGTCCGACAAACTCTTGAAACTCCTGTTTCAAACTACAGTTTTTAAAAAATGATAAAGATACATAAAAATAAATGATGATAGAATGTAAAAAGGAAAAAAACATGTATATCAATATATATAATCTATATCTATAATGTTTTTAAAAATTAGTTTGAAACAAGAATTTCAAGAATTTAAGTTTATATGTGAAAACACATACAGTAGTTATTTGCCCTTCTGACAATGGTTTATCTAGTTAAAACACTATCCAAATATTACTACCAGATGCAATAAATAATAGTTTCACCTTAAAACTGTAATTTAATGAAGGCGGGTTTTCTGAAAAATGAGGATACATGTGAATATTTAGTTATCCGTACAAGAACATTCCTGAATTCCTTTGACTGTAGGTTTTCACCAATTTGCCTGTTGCAGTGGTAAGTAGATGTCTCAAACACTTGTTCCTAACTCAAGTTGATACAGATCATACTAGATTAACTTTCAAAACAAACACTTTTTGAGTAGTAAAATGGAAAAAGGATAAAAGGAGGGTAAAAGAGGGAGAGAAACTCCAAATTTTCTAAACTGAACATGTTTTCTGAAAATTTCTGTGAAAAAATAATTAGACAAAAATGCTTTTTCTTAAAAAACTGTAGAACAAAAATTATATGAGGCAAATAATTTTCACAATTTTATTTTCCATTATTTGACCAGTTCTAGTTGGAACCATGACAACAAAATTTACACCCGAAGGAATCAGTTATGATCTTTATAGTGATGTTTTGACCATTACACCTGCTTATTCTCTTAGAGCAGCTGGGAATTTAACCCCACGCTTAAACTGCAAATTCTCACAAGTGGGGGACACATCATCTATCAGAAGAGCAGCCAAGCCTTGTGCTACTTCACTCAGGATTTATTTCCCAGTCTAACAGCCTCACTCTCATCTCATCTCCCCTCTCCCCACTCCCCCGAGTAGGAAATAGATACATGAGGCTTCAAACGGGTATCTGAGAGGAAGGTGTGGCTTCAGTGGGGCACCATATGGGCCCAAGGATCTGCCCATGTGCATGACATTGCAGAACTGAGGCTTGCACCACTGGAACCAGTGGCAAGTTTGCCAATAAAATAATTTTACCAATAGGTTCTAGTTGGACCATGACCTCAGAGGACAAAGATGAGGCCACTTAATTTTTCCTCCTATTAAGGACTTGATCCTGCAGCCCAGTTTCACATTGGCATGCCCATTGGAATCACTCAGACTACTTCATGGAGCAAGGACCCAGGGGTGAGGAACCTAAGGCCCAGGGGCCGGATGCAGCCCCAGCTTGCCTGAATCTGACTCCCGAAGCTCAGGGCTCCCCTCCCAGTCTAGTCAGTGCTCCCACTCCCATTCAGATCCCACATCCCAAGGCCTGCTTCCCAACAATCCAAGTCTACACACTGAACCCCTCATTTTTGGCCCCACCTCAGAACATGGGGAGGCCCACAAAATCTACTAGCCTGAGTCTTTCTAGGCCTTAGTATATGAGGGGAAAGTGAGGAGCATCTTTCTCCTTCTCAGTTGAGGGCCACATCAGTGAGGGTTTTTTTTTTCTTTTAGCTTCTCACTTTTGTGGGCCCTTGACTGATTTTTTTGTGGGTCAGCAGCCTCTAACCCCAAAAAGGTTCCCCACCCCTTAATAGAATCAGCAAAAGGAACATCAGTTCTCCAATGGGGGAAAAAGTGACTTCAGATCCTGAAAAAGTTGAGCAGGCCTGTTTAAGTTTTAGATAACTGTGTAGATTTTGAGTTCCTGGATTTTTTTACAGTCAGAATTAGGCAGAGTTACCCCCCCATGTTGTTTGTCGTATAAATCGGAACAGACCACCACAGTGCTGCAGTATGTTCACTCCAACTGTTTATTCAAAAACTGTGGTAGATAATCCATTCTGCTTAAAATCTTCTGACACTTGCTTTGAGTGTCGAATTTTGGCAGACAGTGCTTCAAAGAGATCATTCTGATCCACAGCTGTAGCAACCCTATAAATGAATTCTTCCAATGATTCCAAGCCTCTCAGTCCAAGATTAACTCCACAGCCTGCCAGAAAGTGGATAAAATAAAAAGGCATTTAGAAATGGTGGTTAATGTCACAATGAAATAGATGACAACTAGCACATGGAGTAGAGTTGTTGATCTCCTTTGCTTTAAGCAATCAATATCCAGTGTCTGGTAGGTTTTACTGCTAGAAATACTGATTTACATTTGGTTATACATAATGGCTACATCTAGACAGGCAAGACTTAGTGCAAATACTCTAAACGCAAGAGTTTTTGCGTTTAGAGTATTTGAGTAAGAGAGCATCTATACTGGCATGTGCCTTTGCGTAAAAGATTTGCTTTTGCGCAAAAGCATCCGTGCCAGTGTAAACGCTCTCTTGCACAAGAAAGCTCCGATGGCCATTTTAGCCACTGGGCTTTCTTGCGCAAGAAATTGATGTTACTTGTCTACACTGGCCTCTTGCACAAGAACACTTGCGCAAGAGGACTTATCCCTGAGCGGGAGCATCAGAGTATTTGCACAAGAAGCACTGATTTCATACAGTAGAACGTCAGTGTTCTTGTGCAAATACTCATGGCCAGTGTAGACAGGCAGCAAGATTTTGCGCAAAAGCAGCCTCTTTTGTGCTAAATCTTGCCAATGTAGACACAGCCAATCTGTTGGTAACCCTGATCCAGCAAAGCAGTCAAATATCTTCACTTTAAGCAGGTGTTTTACTGGATTGGAGCCTGTATTGTCTGTCAGAGATTTGGGGATGGAGTGTCTGGATATATTGCACATGTTGCAGATGCTGATATGTTGCAGAAAGCAACCAATGATATGGCAAAGAGTTTGTTTGCCCCTTGGATAGAAGATGTGTTAATTTGTCAGAATTCCCAGCTGCTCTCAGATGATCAACTATCAGCAGCAGTGAGGCAAAATCTATAAAGATTGCAGCTGTTTCTTCCAGATACATATCTTGCCTCCATGATTCATGCCCCAAGATTAGACTACACACGGCATTGTACATGGGGATATATTTTAAAGCAACTGAGAAACAAAAAGTGAAAATGAAACATCCATAGGATTCTGAATGGTTGGAATCATAGTCAAATAGAAAACAAATAGAAGAAAAGCATGGATAATTTCTTATATGAGTCACTCCGGCTCTAGTCAACACAGATGGGTTTGTTCTAGTTCTATGGCACCATAGGGCATGTCTAAACTTGGAAATTACTTTGAAATAGTTATTTCAGGAGTTATTATTTCAAAATAAGTTATTTCAAAATAGAATGTTCACACAACGGGGAAGAATCAAAATTAGTCTGAGGCAGGCTCTCTTAATGTGGACACGTTACCTTGACTTAGAACCCCAGAAAACACTGGGGACTAATCACTTTGAATAATTTCGAAATAACAGCAGTGGAACATCCACACTACCGCTATTTCAAAATAAGCGTTATTTCTCATGGAAAGCAGGAGTTATTATTTCGAAATAACCAGGCCCTTATTTTGAAATAACTGGCCTGGTTGTGTAGATGCGTCACTTGTTATTTTGAAATAAGGGGAATTATTTCAAAACTAGCCAATTAGCCCGTCATAAGACAGGATTTTCAGGTCTCTCCTCCATGTCAGTCTTCTCTCCTGAGCCTCCGGTCTCTTGCTCCGTCTCGCTCTGTCTCTCTCTCTCTCCTCCTCCTCCTGCTTCCCTCCCCCCAGCTCTCCTCTGCCTCCTGCCTCTCTCTCTGTCTCTCTCTTTCTCTTCTCCTCCCCCTCCTGCCTCTCACTCGGGGGACCGTGCAGCCCAAATGGCCGTTTGGGCTCTGCGCTCTCCGTGCTCCATGGGGACTGCGGCACCCAAATGGCTGCTTGCGCCACTTGCTCCCCCGTAGCGGCCCAGCTGAGTGGCGCAGAAGTCAGCCGAGCACCACAGTGGGAGGCGAAGGACGTGACTCAGGCAACAGCGCCGCCCAGAGGGAACAGCCAGGGAGGCAACAGCACCGCCCAGAGGGAACAGCCAGGGAGGCAACAGCGCCACTCAGAGGGAACAGCCAGGGAGGCAACAGCGCCGCCCAGAGGGAACAGCCAGAGAGGCAACAGCGCCGCCCAGAGGGAACAGCCAGGGAGGCAACAGCACC